ATACAGTCACCATCTTTGCTCTTCACAAATTTTATAAATAATGTGCTAAATTTTTATGTGCCCATTTTAACCTAAACCCTTGGGCTCAGGGAACAAAAGGATCAAAATCAGAACCACTGTTAAGGCTGAAAATAAAACTTATTTTATAAAAAATCAACTTTAAATTTTGTATAAAATGGACAAGCTATTTATTCGTCGCCAAGAAAAATAAGCCACAGTTTACCTAGCTGTTAGTCCTCTCCTGCAAACTCCCTATAATTCTGTTTTCGGTGGGTATCTTCTATTTGGATAAATCAGATCATGGTATTTCAAAATTACTATTACAACAACAAATCAGACTACAGAACAGCCAGAACCCCACTCATATGATCGATAAGATTCACTTTTTAAATTAAATGTAGAAAAGCTTAGTCAAAAGGAGAAGTTAATTCTTAGGAGATGGAAGTTCCTTTCCACATTACATACAAGTGGTACACAATACAATCAAGCAGTACTACTACAAAAAAGCCCCCAAAACCAAAAGCCAACAACAAAAACCATTTTGCAGGGTCTCTGTCTCTCAGAAATAAACAAAAAAAATTAAAAAAAAAAAACAAAACAATTTTGCTTTCCCAATGCCTAATACAGAAATTAGGAATGACATCCAAAATAATGTATTGGTTTTATTTCTTTAATTTTTAAAAAAAAATTTTAATGTTTTATTTTTTAAAAATGTTTTATTTATTTCGGAGAGAGAGAGACAGCGTGAGCAGGGGAGGGTCAGAGAGAAAGGGAGACACAGAATCTGAAACAGGCTCTGACAGCCAGCTCAGAGCCGGACGCGGGGCTCGAACCCACAAAACGTGAGATCACGACCTGAGCCGAAGTCGGACGCTTAACTGACTGAGCCACCCAGGCGCCCCTTATTTATTTCTGAGAGAGAGAGAGACAGCGTGAGCAGGGGAGGGTCAGAGAGAGAGGGAGATACAGAATCTGAAACAGGCTCCAGGCTCCAAGCTACCTGTCAGCACAGAGCTGACACGGGGCCCAAACCCACGAACTGTGAGATCACGACCTGAGCCGAGTTGGACGCCTGACCAACTGAGCCACCCAGGCACCCCACCAAAATAATGTATTGATTTTAGTTTCTAGAAAAAAAAAATGATTTGTACTCATTAGCTAAAACAGAATAATTTCTATTTAAAGGGGGAAAAAAGTCAGTGTTCAATTACTTGGGAGTTATAAAATAAGAAGTGATTGATACTGAAGTCCACCATTAACTGAGACAACGTATTTGTTAAAATTTGAAAAACTAAGGCTACTACTTTATCGAGTAGAACACAGAGTGGGTCTTACACAGGCAGGAGAGGACGAGAGAACAAGACTCCATGTCCCGAGACAGCATCTGAATTAGGAAGCACTGGTTTTCTCAAAGTAGTACTCCTTAACGAGCTCACTCCTGGGTTTACAGGAAGATTGCTATAGAGGTCATAAAAACCTCTACTGACTCACATATTGCAAATAAACATAAAAAACTACTGTCATACCCTACTCTCAATGATTTAATCACCATAAAGAAATACAGGAAGTAAATTACATTGAGCATTTCATCTCTTATGTGGCATGAGATGTTTCTAAACCACTCTTTTCTCTAAGGGTGGTTTACTTTCCCATCAGCACTAGGGAATTCCTCTGCCTACCCCTAGGAAACAGAAGCATGAAAATCATCTAGAACATTAAATTAGTACTTAACATCTACAAAACTATAACTCTTTTCTGCCAAAAAAACCAAGCAACTCTAACAAGGGCCCACAAGATACCTAACTAGGATAGTCTTGAATCCCTAACTTATTATTCTCATCCTTGTATCAGTAGCATGCTACTGATTCTCAGTAACCAGGCTTGACAACATCTCATTTCTTAATACTTGACTGCTGACTGATTATTTTCATTCTCTCCTATCTGTACCTTACCTGTATCTCTCCAGGGGCAAGTTCTTTTCAGGCAAGCCCCAATGTTCATACCTATTCAAACAATAAAATTCTGCTTCTTTGAAAAGATAAATGAAATTGATAAACCTCCAGACTGACTCATTAAGAAAAAGGGTGGAAATAAATAAAATCAGAAATGAAAAAGAAGGTACAGGTGACATCACAGAAAGGATCGTAAGAGACCACTATAACAATTATATGCCAGCAAACTGGACAATCTAGAAGAAATGGATAAATCCCTAGAAACACACAACTTTCCAAGATTGAAGCACAAAGAAATAGAAAATCTGAGTAGATCAATTACAAGTAATGAAACTGAATCAGGGGCGCCTGGGTGGCTCAGTTGGTTAAGCGTCTGACTTCGGCTCAGGTCATGATCTCGTGGTTCGTGGGTTTGAGCCCCACGCTGGGCTCTGTGCTGACAGTCAGCTCAGAGCCTGGAGCCTGTCTTCGGATTCTGTGACTCCCTCCCTCTCAGACACTCCCCTACTCACGCTGTCTCTCTCTCTCTCTCTCTCTCAAAAAAACCCCCAAAAAACAAAACTGAATCAGTAATTTAAAAACTCCCAAAAAACAAAATTCCAGGACACAATGGCTTCATAGGTGAAGTCTACCACACATTAAAAAAGATTTAGCATCTAGCGAAATAAGTCAGGCAGAGAAGGACAAGTATCACGTGTTTGCACGTATAGGAGGATTAGGAGGAACTTAACTGAGGACCATGGGGGAGAAGAAGGGGGGAAATGTGGGGGAAAGGGAGAGAGGCAAACCATGAGAGACTCTTGAATGCTGAGAAACAAACTGAGGACTGATGGATGTGGGGGGGGGGGAGATAGGCCTGGAGGAGGGCACTTGTGGGGATGAGCACTGGGTGGTATATGGA